GGGATGCCTGGAGAAATGAAAACTTTCCATTCAATTTCACAGGCTGTTAAAATATGTTAGGCAATGATCTTGACCTACTGACTGATATAGACTCATTAATTAAATAATTAATTGCAATATGGCTAAACATGCAACCTGAAGGAAATTGCCTGTTTGCTTCTTAGCTGTTTTCTTTCATGATGCCAACTTTAGGAATTAGGTGCTCAAAACAAGACTTCATAAATGTTTGCGTATAAGAGTGTCCTTCAAGGGCTTGAACGGAACTTGATTTAAATCCAACAATCAAAACACAGCCAAATTTTTAGTGAAAAAAAATATATCTGATTAAATATCTGTCTTAGCCATACATACACATTTCTGAAAGGCTGATTTAAGATCACACTTGTCTGTGGGTTCTCACTGCATGGGAATGGTAGCAGTTGTAATGAGGTAGACTCTTAATATGATTCACTTTTCTTAGGTGAGGCCATGAATCTGTTCATTCATAGCCAAGTTTTCTGAGAAATACCATTGGGCTTGGATGGATGGACTTGGGGAGTCCAAGTGTTTGGGAGATGGGATACATGTCTTGGTTTATATTCCCCATAGCCTTTATTTTCTAGATGTGAAAAATGGGTGTGTGTGCATGCTCAGCTGTGTCAGACTCTTTGTGAACCTATGGACTCTAGTCTGCCAGGCTCCTCAGTCCATGGGATGTTCCTGGGAAGAATACTGGAGTGGGCTGCCATTTCCTTCTCCAGGGGAACTTCCCAACCCAGGGATTGAACCTGTGCTGGCTGTACCTCCTGCATTGCAGGTGGATTCTTTACGTGCTGAGCCATCAGGGATGGGGCAGAATGGATAAGTATTTTAAATGCATTTGGTTAGTGAGCAAATCTATTAATCCTTTTCAAGGCCTCTATTTGCATACCTGTGATTAAGGAAGTTGAAGATTAAGCATTCTCTTCTATTATGTTTCAAGTAAAACTATATTTATAGAGGAATTATTACAAAACCTTATCTTCGACACAGTTGAAAATTGTGAAAATCATCTAATGTTAATGACTAATAAATTTGGTCCCATATTGAGCATGCCTTTTCTAACTGAATCCTCACAATAGCGTAAGGAGGTAAAGAACGATTTTTTAAATGTGGAGACTGAAACTTAAAAAGGTTAATTAGCTTGCACAAAGTCATAGATCTAGGGGTGCTTTAGTTTAGGACTTTTAAGCCGTTGTGGTCAACTACTCCACTATATGTCCTTCAAGACTGCCACTCTTTGCCTCTACATTACAAACTACATTTTACATGTGGACAAAAAGGCAAAAGGGCTTCCCAGGTGGCCCTAGTGGCAAGTAATTCACCTGCCAATGCAAGAGACACAAGAGACATGGGTTTGATCCCTGGGTCAGGAAGATCCCCTGGAGAAGGAAATGGCAACTCATCCTGGTGTTTTTGCTTGGAAAATTCCATGGGCAGAGGAGCCTCGTGGGCTACAGTCCATGGGGCCTCAAAGAGTCGGACATGATAGAACACTTAGCACTACAAAGGCAAAAAAGAAGTATGATACTTAAATAGTGATACAGCCCAAGTCTATTTTTTTATTTTTTTACTTTTTAAAAAATAAAATATTTTTATTTTTTCCTTTTGAAGACTACATATAATCACTGAAAAGTGCTCATCATCAAAAATGCTGACCATCGCCATGAGAAACCAGTGAATGCCAACACTGCCAAGCGAATTGGTGCCCTTGCCACGCTGTGTTGCAATTATTTACTTATTGTGTTCTTTCACTGCTGAATGAATGAATGCTGCTGCTGCTGCGCCGCTTCAGTCGTGTCGGACTCTGTGCGACCCCCACAGACGGCAGCCCACCAGGCTCCGCCTTCCCTGGGATTCTCCAGGCAAGAACACTGGAGTGGGTTGCCGTCTAGAGGGATACAATTTTGCCTTTATCACTGCCCAATGCATAATATGAGCTTCCCCGGTGGCTCAGATGGTAAAGCATCTGCCTGCAATGCGGGAGACCCGGGTGCGATCCCTGGGTTGGGAAGATCTCCTGGAGAAGGAAATGGCAACCCACTCCAGGATTCTTGCTGGAGAATCCCACGGATGGAGGAGCCTGGTGGGTTACAGTCCACGGGGTCGCAAAGAGTCGGGCACGACTGAGCGACTTTACTTTCACTTTCAATGCATAATATGGAGCTTACTAGGTGGCGCTAGTGGTAAAGAACTTGCCTGCCAATGCAGGAGTTGCAAGAGATGAGGGTTCAATCCCTGGGTCAGGAAGATCCCCTGAAGGAGGGCATGGCAACCCACTCTAGTACTCTTGCCTGGAGAATTCCAAGGACAGAGGAGCCTGGTGGGCTACAGTCCGTTGGGTCACACAGAGGTGGACACTGCTGAAGCAACTTAGCACACAGCACAGTTCCTAACATGTGCTCAAGAAATACTTGAATAAATGAATGATTGTAGAAACAAATATCCTCTAGAACTGGATGGCAAAAGCATGTTCACCAACATCCAGTTTTCATTGCTCTGAAGTGTTAATAGATATCACAGTTGATTTTCATCCCCCAAATTTTCATCTAAATTTAAAAATCACTTTATAATAGGATTCTCCATAGCATACATATCTTACAATGTTATTATTTAATATTTTCTCAAAATAAACAAATTTGGACTCTAATCAAATTGAAAGACCACTTAGGGAGATAATTTTCAGAGGTGCACAAATAACCTGGTTAATATTTGGGATATATAAACTGCACAAAGAATTGCAGGTGTCATCTGGATGGAGAAAACTTAAGGGAAGAAATAGAAATCTTTGGATAATGCCTTACACAATGGAAATAGACAATTTTGCTCCAGGGCAGAGTAGGAGTGATCATCTTCCACCTTGAGTCATTCTCTCTAGAATCCTTGTAATACTGACTTGGCTTGCTTAACTATGGTAGAAATAATTGCCATGAGTTATGCAGATCTTTTTTTATCGACGCACACCTAGTGCTGAAATCCTTGGTAGAAGTGAATTCCCAATAATACTAATGCTTTAGCTCTTTGAGAATCATGTTGCGTCCGATCCACAACAAATTACAATCATTCATAGCAGAATTTTTTTTATTCCTATGTATGTTCACCACTTCTGATAGGATGATAATGGAATATAATTTGTCCCATTAGATGGTTGCAATTAGAAGTCCATTTCATTTACCAACCCATTACAGCTTGAAACCAAATTAAACATAAGAAAACAACATAACAGAAAATCATGAATGAAAAACCATTCATCGATCCTCTGGTTTCAACAATTTCTTACACGTTGAAGAATAAATCCTTAAATTTAGAGTGGGCTTCAAGTAACGTATGGATTGACTGGCAGCTGAAATGCTAATAAACTCTGATAAGAAGTGAAGTTTCCATAGCTACGATCCAGGTTATGGAACATGATTATTCTTGTAAAAAAAATCAGGATGGAAATAATTTGAAATGGTAAAAATGAAGGTCTAGGACTTCTACCTTAAAAAGCTCAGCTGATATTTTTAAAAAATCTTTCTGAGACTGTTGAAGAAAGTGAAAGATGTAAAGGTGATTTATAATTTTTAAATTTTCCAACATTTTCTCTTTGTTAATTGATTTTGCTTTACCACGATGAATATGCAACTGAGGACAGTAAGGGTTATTAAGCTAGAAGTGTAAAATACTTATTCTGCATGGAATTGATTAAAATTCAGTTTTATTTTGATTGATACAAACACAATTTCTCTACCCCCTGGCTTCATTTATTTCTATGATTCTTTGGATACTTCTACTTCAAGCCATGCTGATTTCTATAGCGTGCTGGCTATCTATATACCCTTTCATCTATATATAATTTTTTTACATGATTGTTCTGTCAATAATATCAACAAGCTTTACCATGTATACACTTATTATTGTTGAACTCTATGTGAAATTCTCTATAGTCATCACCTCCCATAATCTTCATATCAGTAAGAGCTAAGCATTATTATTTCCATCATTTTATAGGTGAGCTTGTTTTGATTTGATTTTGGCTTTCAGAGTTCCTTTCTGTAGCTCAGGTTTTTCATCCTTCATGTAGTAAGGATAATCAAAATTACCATTGCTTGAATGACCAGACTGGTAAGTATTAACATGGTTCTGGTGATCTATGATTTTTGAGTTATAGTATGAAGCCATTTTGGGGAATAATGGAGGACCCAAAAGAGATTATTTCTAAGCCAACTTATATTAGAAAAGTGCATTTCCTTGATAACTGCTTTATTTTGGATGAATTGTTCAGATTCATAAATCTTAACTTTAAATGGCAAGGAAAACACACAATGAGAAAGTTCATCCCAAATTACTACATTTTTTTATTTGAAACTGAACAGAAAAGTTGTTTTGGTGTTCAAAAAAAAATTAGAGCTTGGTTCTAATATATCTTATTAGCATATGAACACATTTTTGAGAAACAAAATCATGGCTGTTTACATAGTGTGGTATATGCGTGCTCAGTCGTGTCCGACGTTCTGCTACCCCATGGACTGTAGCCCACCAGGCTATTCTGGCCATGGGATTTCCCAGGCAAGAATACCAGAGTGGGTTGCCATTTCCTTCTCTAGGGGATCTTCCTAACCATGGATCAAACCTGCATCTCCTGCATTGGCAGAAGGATTCTTTACCATTTGTGCTACCAGATAAGCCCATAACCTATGTTATTTCCCCCCCCAAATGTTTACACCTTCACATCACCCTTCAGTGCAAGAGCTTTGAACGTTGTATTTGTTCATTTTGCCGCTTTGAGGAAAGTGTTTGCTACCCAGGAAAAATTCGTTTAATAATTGCTTTCAGCATGCAACTGTGATTTCTAATGAGGCATTTTCTCCAAGTAGACTCTACCATAGTCACTGGAGTTTGGGGCTGATGAGATGTTAGGAGAATAAGCAACACCCTACTTTAACCACATCTCTGATGAAAGTGAAATGTGCTCTCATCCCACAGGAAGTGTTCCTTTCCACATGAAATCCTCCAAGATGATGAGCTCCAATCCCGAGGAAGACCCTTTGGACACGTTTCTCCAATACATTGAGGATATGGGGATGAAGGCCTATGATGGCTTGGTTATTCAGAACGCATCAGACATTGCTCGAGAGAACGATCGCTTGAGAAACGAGACAAACCTGGCCTACTTGAAAGAGAAGAATGAAAAACGCCGAAGACAGGAAGAAGCAATAAAACGGTAAGTATAAACAAAAGTGTCCTGAGTGTTGCTCACTCCCAGGAGTTCGTGAGTCCTGCGAAAACTCTGGTGTTGTCACCTGCTCAAGAAGGGGTTTGCCAAAGTTAGACTTGAAAAGACAAAGTGAAAATGTCTCCTCAACTGTAACAGAAAACAACCAACCTTAGGGACAGGACTCTTGTCTTAGTTAACAAAAGTTGTTTACTTCTGTGTTATGATTATGGAGGTGCAGATGGGATTAAGAAAAAATTCAGTTTCCTTTAAATAAAAGTTCATACTGAACAATCTCTTGATAAAAGCTTAAGGGAACACACACTTATTTAATATTTAATGAAAAATGCCTACCTTTAAAGGTCTTTGTATCATCCTTATCTTATAATAGAGTTCATCTTTCTATGAAAAGACTTGTTAATAATTAGACTTTTGTGAGTTTCTGAAGTGGAAGCTTCAGTGTGCGGTCGCTATGCAGAGTTCTGTGGCTATTACATCTCTTGCCTGGTACTAAGTGTCCCAGCTTTGTTCAAATGAAATGACTTTTATGCTTCAAAACCTACCTGCTACATGCAAATGAGCCTCAATTGCAGCCTCCAAACTGAGGCTACATTTTCCAGTGTATTGAGATCAAAAGAAGGATACACAACTTTTGATTTTTCAAAAAAAATGTTCAGCATTTTCTGAGTGTATATATTGTAGGGGTACAGGTAGAAATGTGTATTTGATGGAGTCCTATTTATTCAATGAAGTACATTTATTAAGGGCAAAGAGACAGAATTCAGGAAATTAATCCATCAATTGCCTGGATAACTGAATGGTAATAGTAAGCTGTCTTGATAGTTGGTGGACTTTTCATCTAATCTGAAATTAATCCTTTTGCTTACTCTCTGTGAACACTATAATATGAAGAAAAAGAAAATATTCTTTTAAGGTGGACTATTCATTCTTACGGGCTTCCTTGGTGGCTCAGGTGGTAAAGAATCTGCCTACAATGCAAGAAACTGGATTCAATCCCCGGGTCAGGAAGATCCCCTGGAGAAGGAACTGTCTACCCACTTCACTACTCTTGCCTGGAGAATTCCATGGACACAGGAGCCTGGCAGGCTATAGTCCACAGTGTCACAAAGAGTTGGACATGACTAAATGACAAACACACACACACATACATTCATTCTTATAAAGAAGCAAAGTAAGGATGCACTGCTCCAATCATTTAATTACTGATGCGGAAGAAGAGGGAGAGAAACAGGGAGAGGGATTTGGAAACAAAAGTGTAGAAAGAACTTTTCTAGAGGATCATTGTGAAAGAGTGCGATCTTTTTCTCTGGACTATTAAAATGGAAATCCATTCTATCACCAAATGCCCAAATATTTATAAAATCGCATGCTTCATAAACATGTTAATAATTGTATATGCTTTTTGTAAGATGTTGTTTATTTCTACCCAGTTTTAGTTGACATCACAGGTTCCTTTCTTACAATAAATTTTTTTCTGCAAAGTACCTCTGATAAACTTCTATATGTATATGAACATTTTAAATTACTTCTGTGAGTCTAATATTTCTGAAACTCAAACAAAAAAGGAAACTCATGATTTTTAAAGTAACTTCATATATAAAATCTAAAGTTTCCCAATCTTGCCATTAAAACTCATGAATTCATTATTTTCTCTAAGCGTAGGGACAGAATTATTTGCTGAATTGTTCTATTAGACTATACAGAGCACCCACAGTGTGCTTATCACTGTACTATTAGATTCTGTGTTTCATCAACAACCTTCAGAAAGTTTCTATCTAAAGATCTATAGATGTTAAGACAGCAAAAATGACTCTTAGGTGGTAAAGTGTTCAAAGAGGCATAATTCCAAGAAGTCTATAACTCAGGGAACAGGAACAGGAATTTAGGTAAGTGACTGTGCAGTTCTTAGAACAGAATCTTAAGCCAAATTATTGCTCAATAATTACTAGGTCAAAAAGATCGTATGAGTTTTTCCATAATGTCTTATGGAAAAAACCCAAATGCAGTTTTTGGGCCATCCCAATAACTTGTGTCAAATATATTTATTGATTGGTAAAATATTTATTGGAATTTTACTGAATGCCAGGAAATGTTCTAGGCTTTTATGTGTGTGTGCTAAGTCTCTTCAGTCGCTTCTGACTCTTTGTGACCCCATCGACTGTAGCCTGCCAGGCTCCTCCTTCCATGGCATTCTCCAGGCAAAAGTACCGGAGTGGGTTGCCGTGCCTTTCTCCAGGGGGTCTTCCCAACCCAGCGATCGAACCTGCATCTCTTACGTCTCGTTGCATTGACAGGCAGATTCTTTACTACAGGCGCCACCTGGGAAACCCTAAGCTTTTATGAAATATCAATAAACAGAACAAAGTTCCTGGTTATAAAAGACTACATTCTGAAAGAAGGGTAAAGGAGAGGCAACATGAAAGATATGTTTAAATAAATGTATATAACAGGTGGTAACAGTTTTTTACCCTGTAAAACAAGCCAAGATGAGGAAGATAAGAATAGACTCCAGGGAAGAATTCTGAGATCCCGCAACATCTGAGCAGGAGTGTGAGACACTGGGAGCCTGTCGCTGGAGACATGAACCGCATGTGGCTATCTATGGGAAGAGGGTTCTCGGCAGAGGAAACAAAGTTTGGTGTGCTCCGAGGGCAAGGTGTCCTGTTGTGACCGAGCAAATACTGATGTTGGGGGCGGTAATTTAATTTCAGACTGGTAGTGGACCATCAGGTAATACAAAGCCTTATAAACACTTATGTTTTACTCTGATAGAAGAAAGATTACAGGAGATTTTTGAGCAGAGGAATGACGTGCCCTAATTGACCATCCCACAATGATGACTATGGTTTCCATGGGTTGAATAGATGGATGGGGTATAACTGGATGCAGGGAATTCAGAGAGAACTTTTGCAGTGATTCATGTGAGAAATGGTGGTAATTTGGAGTAGAGTGATACTAGTAGAGGTGTCATAAAATACTAAAATTATGGGCATCATTAGAATTTTCTAACTGATGAGATGTAGAAGTAGAATGAAAGAAAAGAACTGAAGATGGTTCTCAAGTGTGCTTTGCTGTTGTTCTGGGTTCTGTTGTTATGTGTTGGTTTTATCCAAGACAACTAGAAGAATGATGCTTACACTTAATGAAATGCTAAAGATTTGAAGATAAGTAAGTTTAGGTTGAATGGTGGGGGAATGGGAGTTCAGCTTTCATCTCCAATGTTGGGAGTCCTTTTAGATATTCAAATGGAGAATTCTGGATGGACAATTGGATCCAGGATTCATGGTAGAGATCAAAGTTGGGGATGCTAATATGAGAGTCACAGATATTGCAGTCAAGAGTCTAGTTAAGAATCCCTAGGAAAAAAAAAAAAGAATCCCTAGGACCTAAAATTAGATAGAATAAAAGCACCCAGGACAGTTCCTTGGGTGCATGTAATTGCTTACATAACAGGAACAGTAGAAGAATCCAGTAAGAAGAGGTAGTAAGAGAACCACCAAAGTGGGTGTTGCATCAGAGTGAAATGAAAAAAGGGATTAAAGAAGAGAGATCTTACTGGTGGGTCAAATATATTGAAGCCTGAGGATTGAACGATGCTTTTTACCACATTGGTGCTGACCAGAAAAGTTTTGCTGGAGGGCTGGGGACAAAACCCAGTGGTGTTATGTTCATGAGAGGATGGAAAAATAGGAATTGAAACAAGGAAGAAAATGTGTGTGTGTTAATTGCTCAGCCATGTCCAACTTTGTAACCCCACGAACTGTAGCCCTCTAGGTTCCTCTGTCTATAGGATTTTCCAAGCAAGAACACTGGAGTGGGTTGCCAGTTCCTTCTCCAGGGGAATTTGCCTGACCCAGAGATCAAACCCAGGTCTCCCACTCAAGGAAGAAAATAATAGAAAATTATCGTAGGGATTTTTGAGGTTAAATAAAATTCACACATATGGAGAGTAGTTGAAGGAGGAAGAGAGGTTTGTGGTGTTCTGTTTTCCTGTTTTTTTCCTTTAAGAAGAGAGAGAGCTAGCTTATTTGAAATGCTGATATAAATGATTACAATAGAAAGGGAAATGTTAATGACTTAGGAGAGGTAAAGAAAAATTACTGTGATTATGTCCTTGAGTAGGTGGGAAGGGATGGGATCTCAAGTGTTTCAGATTGGAGCACAGACTGCTTAGCCACAATGTATGGGTGACTGAACGATGAATGAACGGATGACTATTCCTGCGTGAAGTGGCCCCAAACCTGGCTCCGCACGCATCATTTTATTATTGTACCGTAGCCATCACAAGTGCTAGGAATCAAAAGATGTAGTATGTCTCTTGCTATCAGTAACTTTTTCCTACTCTCTCCTACAGTCTTTCATCAAATATTTTTCTGGAATTTAAAGCGTAAATATTTTTGGAAGGAGCAAAACACTAGTAAAATCTCCTAAATTTGGAAACTTTTCAGATGATTTTCTTTTTTCATTCGTTTTGCTTTTTGTTGGAGTACAGCTGATTTACAATGTTTCAGGTCCTCAGCAAAGTGATTAAGATATATATGCATGCATACTAAGTCGCTTCAGTCGTGTCTGACCCTTTGAGACCCCGTGGACTGTAGCCTGCTAGGCTCCTCTGTCAATGGGATTCTCCAGGCAAGAATACTGGAGTGGGTTGCGAGAGTGTGAGAAGGCGTGCGAGGGTGTGCAAGGATCTTCCTGACCCAGGAATCGAACCTGCATCTCTCTTCTGTCTCCTGCATTGGCAGGAAAGTTCTTTACCACTAGTGCCACCTGGGAAGCCCCTTATATACCTATATATATATATAATATTATATATATAATATTCAGATTCTTTTCTATTTTAGGCTATCACAAGATATTGAGTGTATAGTGATATACTGTGATATACAGATATATATATGTATTCAGATTCTCTTCTTTACAGGTTATCACAAGATATTGAGTATAGAGAATAGTGATATGCTATGATATACAGTAGGTCCTTGTTG